TAGACAGACAGACAGACAGACAGACAGACAGACAGACAGATAGATAGATAGAGAGATAGATAGAGAGATAGATAGAGAGATAGACAGATAGAGAGATAGATAGGTAGATAGATAGATCCAAGCTTTAAAACAAGACCCAGGTGCAGCACTGGTCCCGTCTCCCACCCACCGTATTCCACCATGGGCCACACTGTCTCCCTCCACTGAAGCCAGAAGAGGGCAGAAGCTCCTGGATTTTTTTTCTTTCCAAAAACACTGGGTTTGCCCCAAAGAAGATTTGTCTCAGAATTGGTGGCCTCCAGAAGCATCTTTTGTCAGAGCTTCTGTCTATTGTTTGCAATGAGGGGAAAGGAGGGCCGAGGGTGGTGGTTCACCTGCCTGGCTTTTGGAGGTAAGTGGCAGCCTGTTCATGCAGTCTACACAAATCCCTCCCTAGAGTCCACATGAACCCTAGAGGGTCATAAAGAGAAGCCCAAGGAAGCTTCTGTGTATGTAGAAGTTGGAAGGATAATACAGGCTTTTTTGAAGGTGGGGAGAGGAGAAACGGGCAAGAATAGAATTGCCAGATAGAATTGTGTTGGTTTCTCAAAACAAAGAGGTGCAGGTATATATAAATCAGATGGGCAGAAGGCCCATCCCTGGCTCAGTGCCCCCAGATTCCCTTACCTGAGGTGGGTGTCATGGGGGTGGCGGCCAGACCGTTCATGTTGAGCGCCGCCATCTGCTGCATCTGAGCTGCGGCGAAGGCCGCCATGGGGTTTAGGTAGCCACCTTGAGCCACGGATGCCATGATGGCCGCCTGTTGCTGCATCAGCTGGAACAAAGAGAACCAGGGAAAAAATATCACGCATTCACTGGCCCGGCTGTCCCCCTCCCAGACTGGAGGACACCACCGAAGCCGTCAATGTGACTCGCTTCCAGGACCTTGGAGGTTGTTTCAGACTTTTGCCTTCTGAAAGCGAGCTTTTTAACTAGGCTGTCAAACGGTTAAAGAACTTTGAGATGATTAATCCTCTGCCTTTTAGCCCATGACTCCCCTAATTGATTACATTCTATTTAAACACATTTGCATATTTTCCAAAACCTGTCTGAGATATGGAAGGCAGTGTGAGATAACATGTAAATCTTATAAACAAAGGCTACGATTCTTTGTTCGAGGGGGACATGCATTTAATATGTCCTCTCCTTCATTGGAGGGTGCAAAAGTACACCTAAAGTTCGGACATAGGTTCTTAACTCTCCATTTCTTCAATTAATGTTTGCTCTAGCCGATTGAAAGTGGCTCTCGCCAATTAGCTAAAGCTTTATCTGTTACTCTCCCAGACCATGTTCATGTTCATGCTTTGCACAGCCTACTTTGTTTTGTGTGGGCCTGAAATGTGGGGTGGAGACAGAGTCACTTGAACAGCTTAATCAGAATTTACAAAACTGCTGAAAAACTGGTCCATGCCTAACAGCGAGCCCTTATTAGTAAGGATATGATCCGTGCAGGAAAAACATCCCCTATTCTAAAAGGTTTCAATTGCCTTAATGGCATTATCACAACTTATATTCCACTTTGGCTAAAATCCAGCAGTAAGTTGCAATGGGAGTAGGCTCCATGAATCAGTCTCGTTGATTCAATCAGCTTGCTGTAGTTATGACTTACTACTGGATTCCAGCCATTGGAAGTGAGAATACTGCGAGAATTGTGGAGTTGGGAAGCTCTTTCTTTTCAGACTACAACTCTTAGAATCCCCCAGATCAGCATCCTCTGTAACCTGTGGTCATGCTGATCACAGCTTGGAATATTTTTTTTCCAGGCTCTGCACTTCTGGCCACCACAGGAGGGTTGCCATGGTCTCCTTAACAACTGGGCCCCAGTTTCCTCCTCTCCATCCATTCAAAGAGTGGGTTTTCTATGCCATGAGGGATTTTGCTGCCCAGCCAACCCTGATTGGCTAGGCTTGCCCCCTTTCCTTTCCCTCTGTGCTTCCGGACATTACAGGTGTCATGGACTGAATGTGGTGCTCCTTGACAGGGGCCAGACTGGATGATCTATGGGATCCCTTCTCACTCTGCAGTTCTAAGATTACGATGATGGTGATGAGTAACAGCATAAGCAGCAGACTAGGGCTACAGGGCAGTGAGTGGAAAAAATATGATTTATAATAAAGATTAGGGCTATTAGAAGAACTCTATGCTTTCCCTAAGATTAGGAGAACTCTTATGCTTTCCCTCTTTCCAGCCCCACAACGTTGATGGCTGAACACTCATGCTATCCTAAAAATTGAACTGTCCACTGTTAGAAATAATTTATTAGGTTAGATGGTCAGCGATCCAGATCACTAGGATTGTTCTTATCATCCTTGTGTTCTCCACCTTCTGTCTGGCAACCCTCCTAGCATTTCTGTGATGCAACCAGGAATCCAATTTTTTTATACAGGAGCGGAACAGCGTATATCTCAATTTTACAAAATACATCTGTCACTCATGGCTGTGCCCCCTTGTGGTGACTTTTGGAAGTGATCTACTGTACATTTGATGCAGTTACAAGCTTTCCCTGACATGTGAGGGTGTCAAGGCACAGAACAGTTACCGTATAATATTTTATACCGTATAATAAAATTTTGCAGTGTATAATATGCCCCCATGTATAGGACGCCCCCCACTTTTCTAACCCAAAATTAAGAAATCTCAGTGGCGCTTACCAAGTGGAGGCGAAAGCAGGTATCAAAGCCCTGCAGGATCACTTTGATCCCTGCTTTCCCCTCCACTTATTTTTGTTCTTTCCTCAGCTTACTTCCGTGTAGAAGACGACCCTCAATTTTTAGTCTAAAGATTTTAGACAAAAGTATAGTCTTATACACAGAAAAATATGGTACCTTTTTATTACTATTCCTTAAATCCTCCAGCTGTGGTCATCCCAACTGGAGATTCTGGAAAGTGTAGCATTAAAAATAAAAGTGACCACATTCTGATCATCGCTGTTGTGGTTATGTGCCATCAAATTGCCTCTGACTTATGGTGACCCTACGAATAAGCAATCTCCAAAATGTCCTGTCTTCACCAGCCTTGCTGGTGTCAAGGTGGAGCCTTCCTGTTTGATTGTTAATTCATCTTTCATTGGGCCGTCCTCTTTTCCTGCTGCCTTCAACATTTCCTATCATTATTGTCTTCTCCAGAGAATTCTGCCTTCCCATGAGGTGGCCAAAGGAGGACAGCCTCCATTTCAACATTTTTTTGCTTCCAGAGATACTTCAGGCTTAAGTTGATCTGATCATCGCCCTATATTAATCTCTGTCTCTTTCTCTGTACATGTACGTGGAAAAACAGTCTTCTGGGTATGTTTGAAATAGAATGTGGTGTCTTCTAAGTTAATGCCCGTCATGACCTGTGTTTGCTTCATCCAAAAACAAAAGGAAGCGTTGCATCTCCTGTCAGAATGACAACATTTTTTTCCCCTTTGCAAATGTATGCAGATTGAATCCATTCATTAATAAACCATTTGGCTAAAATGCATCCAATTAATTAGTTAAGGTTTCTCAAGTTGAATGGCAGGAAAGCACCGAGCGGAGGTGAAGCCGAAAGGAAGAGCTGTCTCCCCAAGCGCTGGTGACAGCATTTTGTCATATTTTTGTGCACAAAGGGCAAACGGGTTCGCTCAAGGCGAGTGAGGGCAGCACCTCGGGAAAGCGGCTTCATCTGCTTTCGATGGCAGCATGTCCACAACCCTTCCTGGGGCCCAACACCAGCCTTATCCAGCTCTTCTATTTGGGAGACAGAAGAAATCCATGGAAGAGGTCACTGTTAAGTCACAACTGACTTAAGGGCACATCCTCATTATAATTATACTGATCACAATCCTGCATGTGGCAGGGGGCAAATCTAAAGAGAGTGAGTTTATCTAACCCTGGGCACTCTGCACATGACATGGGAAGCCTCATTTCCCAGGGTCTTGACTTCTGCGGAGAGTTTATCCAGGTAGCCGAGCCCTCCCTCTTCGGACATCTTGTCACCCTCCACATCTTCGGGGGGGGGACAGAAGTGATGATGGAGGGGGCCCATGCGAGGATGCTCCCTTCTTCATAGAGTGAGCACATTCACATGGTTGCTGTTGTTATGCGATGTCAAGTCACCTCCCAACCTATGGAGATCCTCAGAAAGAGAGATCTCCCAAAGGTTTGGTCCTTGATGGCCCTTCTCCACTCTTCCAAACTCAACCGTGTGGCTTCTTTTAGGGAGTCCATCCATCTCATGCCGATGCTTGAAAAGGATTCTTGTTGCGAGGCCATCTTTTTCACCCCCACCGTCCCTAACTGTTTAGCATCCCCAAGAAGGTTCGTTGCAGAAAGAAAAGCCTTTTGAAAAGGCCACGGAAGACACAGCAGATCAGGAGAACGATGGCGGGCTTGCACAAAGTTAGCCTGTGCCGAATTTAGAGGGAGGTGGAAGACTGTCCCCTCAAGGGCAGTATTTCGCCTTCCCAAATAGAAATGGACGAATATTTCACACAGACCTACTCTTAGCTTATCGCCACCTTTGTTTCAATTCCTTAGGGTTTCAAGATTTAGAGGCGGCCAATTCGGAAGGCACTGCTCCAACCTTCTAGCCATCTTTCCTGTAAGTTTTAATTGGTTGCTGTTGCTGAGCAGGGAATACATTGCAAACCTCCCCCTCCCCGATGAATTCCCCCACAATCAGTGTTGCTGCATTAAAAAAAAAAGTCCTCAGATCCTTCGGAAATGAAAGCGCTGGAGAAAAAGCCGGACCTTGCTATGATTTCCTGTATCTCCACACACATCATCTTGGTGTCAAGGTGGAACCTTCCTGTTTGATTGTTAATTACCCTTTCTTACTGCCTGCCGCGCAAGCCACTTTCACATTTTAATTAGTGATTTACTCTTCTTTGTAATTACTGATGGCGTGATTAGGAGCCCTTTTCTATTGCTGCACAATAGCAGGGCTTTTTGTTCCAAATACCACCGACACCATCACATGTGTGTACAGTGGTGCCTCGCTTAACGATTGCTTTCTTAAATGATGAAACCGCTATGTGATGAACTTTTTACGATCGCTTTTGCGATCGCAAAACAATGCTCTAATAGGAAAAATTAGCTTTGTGATGATTGGTTCCCTGCTTTGGGAACCGATTCGTCGCATTACGATGATTTTAAAACAGCTGATCGGTGGCTTCAAAATGGCCACAGGTTGTGTAAAATGGCTCCCTGCTGTGTTTTTGGACAGATTCCTCGCTTTATGGGCAACGAAAATGGCCGCCCCTATGGAAGATCTTCACTGGACAGTGAGTTTTCAGCCCATTGGAACACATTAACCGGGTTTGAATGCATTTCAATGGGCTTTTTCTGTTCGCTTAACGAGGATTTCGTTCTATAGCGATTTTGCTGGAACGGATTATCCTCGTTAAGTGAGGCACCACTGTATGTGCGTCGCCCCCTTTGAGGAAAAGCCACCCCTCCTTCTACTGCTTGGAATCTGTTCCACAAATGAACCAGAGAGCGGCTGATTGGGTAAAGCACACCAAAATAAGAAGGGGTGAGGAAGAGGGAAGTGGGGTTGTCTCAAAGAGTCTTGCAGCTAAAAGGGTAATCAACCAGGGAAGGAGAAGACACAGCCACTGCACCTGAAGGTCCCAGATTTCATCCTTGGCCCTTGGTGAAGGGATCAAAGGTTTTTGGAAACCCATCCAATCGGGGGATTTGGGGAATGAGCATCCCAAAACAAACATTTCAAACAGTCTGGAAAGGCTTGGAAAGGATCTTTGTGAACAGAGGTGGAGAGTGATGTCTAACGAAGACCCTAGAGAGAAAATTAATTGGTGACAAAGACTACGTCAAGGGTGAAAGTTGACCAAAGACCGGATTCAGGAAAAAGACTGTATTGCACCATCATGTGTGAAGTTCTCAATCATCCCAGAGCGCAGGATGCATAGCAATGGGCTCAAGCGACAGGAAACCGCAATGGGCTCAAGTGACAGGAAACCAAATTTAGGCTGAATATTGGGAAAAACCTCTTAACTGTTAGAGCAGTGAAAACCTCTAACTGTTAGAGCAGTATGACAATGGAACCCATAAACTCAGAAGGTGGTGAGTGCTCCAGCAGTAAAGGCCTTCAAGAGAAAACTGGACAATCCTCTGTTAGATCTGCTTTGACTTGGATTCCTACACTGAGCAGGGGGTTGGACTTGATGGCCTTAGAGGCCCCTTCCAACGCCAATATTTTATGAATATTGCCTCCTTTAATGGGCAGCTTCACAGAAACTATTGGACCTAGGCGTAACACAAGGATCTACCTCTCAGGGCTGTTATAAAAAGTACTGAGCTAATACCCAGGTCACTTTGAAGCATAGATTTGGGGGAAAAGAGCTACTAATCTGTTTTCTTGAAAAATGAAATAGCACTTCTACAGCTTGTGATTTCTGTGGCCCAGCCAGCATTTTGGACATACTGAAAGGGATCAGCTGGATCAAACCAAGTCCAAACACTCAACAGAAATCAAAATGACTAAACGGAGGCTATAATACATTGGGTCGCATCAGGGGAAGATGAAACTCACTGGAAAAAGGCAGTGGATCTAGGAAATGTGGAAGGCAGTAGGAAATGAGGAAGATGGAGACGGGAGATGGACTGACTCGAAAAAGGAAGTCATCGCCTTGAGCTTGCAAGATCTAAGCAGGGCTGTAAATGATGGAATCTTCAGGAGGCCATCAAATCATCGGGTCGCCCTATATCGTAACTGATTTGACAGCACACAACCACAAACGACACTGGATTGAGAGGCTGGAAGGGAATAAGCCAAATCAGTGGCACACCAATTGAGCTGAAGCCTGTGTGCCGTCGACGTGGCTGGTTCCTTCTGCTTCTAGTCTACGCCACTTTTGCATCTGCTCAGTCATTCGGGGTGACACATAGGCAGTGGGAGTGTGTGACACTGGCTGCTTCACCCGTAGTAGCTGTTTTCTGAACAAAGCTTTGGGAAGCTGGAAAGCTCAGGGGTCGACGGAGGTGTGGCTGCAGAATCCCCCCACTGTGCCTCCTCAACAGGGGTTGGACTCGATGATCCTTCGGGGTCCCTTTCTGGCTCTACCATTCTAAGATGGTGGCTGGCGGTGATTAGTTACACTCTTTTACTACAACTCCCAGAAGCCCTGAGCCTCCCCCCCCCCCGGTGTGGAACCAGTATTCCAAAAACACAACTTCCTCTTGTTTCCTTCTTACATTTCATGGCCCCGGTCATTATTGTGGGATGAGTTAAATGCAGAAGGATCTTTGGGCAGAAGGAGGTGAAATCCAGAGCCATCCCATTGGTGTGCAAGAGGAGAGAATCCCTCTCGCCCCAGACAGCCAGAGGAGAATTGCAAACAAGAGAGCCAGCCCCCGGGGACGTCTCTCTGGGAAGATTTATGGGAGGTGAACAGGTTCTGGCAAGGGTCATGGCTATCTCCTGTAAAACCTCCAGAGCGTGTCTTCGTTTGACACAAGGCCATTAAAAGAAGCACTGGGTCGCATCCTTGCCTCCCTCTGCCCTGAGATGAAGGGCTGGCTGAACCCTCATTGATTTAATTTTCCCTACTCCCTTCCTTAAGGGAAGGAACTTGACTGGAACAAACCAAGGCCCCAGCTGAATTATGAATTCTGCTGCCAATAAAAGGTACTCAGATGCAAAGCCGGCCCTGCCGTTAGGCAGAATGAGGGGAAATTTCTTTACAGGGAGCAGATTTGGGGTGTTACACAGACATGGCTTATTAAAAAAGCTTTTCCTTTTCCTTTTTGTCATGGAAAATTTTACCCCCGTACTTTTTATGGGGTAAAGTTATTTGACTGGCTTTGGGTACAGTTCAGCTACATTTAGATCGTTAGGGACATGTCCTAAGTTGATCTGCCTCAGGTAGCAAAATATCTTGGGCCGACCCTGACTGAACCCCTCCAAGCAATCCTCACATGGAGTGTTGGGAGAGTGAGAACAGAGCAAAGAAAAATCTTTCTTGGCCCAGCAGTTTGTTAGTCTGTGGAACTCCTTGCCACAGGATGTGGTGATGGCATCTGGCCTAGATGCCTTTCAGAGGGGATGGGACAGATTCCTGGAGGAAAAGTTCATTGCAGGTGACAAGCCATGATGGGGAGGAATAATCTCGAGGCTTTGAAGGAAGTGACCTTCAAAGGCCAGATGCAGACAAGGGGGATCAGGAGACAGGGATCTGTTTGTCTCTTGTGCTCCCAGAGGCATCTGGTGGGGGGCACGGTGAGATACAGGAAGCTGGACCAGATGGGCCCTTGGCCCGATCCACCAGGGCTCTTCTTATATTATTATGTTCTCATGTGTTATGTGTGTTATGTGGTGCCCACTGTCTAATAGCCTTGACAAAGAAAGAGTTAACCAACCTAAAAAATGTTGTAAAAAAAAGGAAGAAGATGGAAGGCTGATCTGTTAGATCAGGCATGGCCACTGGGGCTGATTTTCAGCTATCAAGGCCATCTGAAAGGCCCACAGCGAGAGAAATGCTAAAAAAAAGCAGATGCTAAAAACCAACAATATCAGGGGGCTCCTACCAACTCTCTTCAGACTGAAGAAGCGACTTGGACGAATAGCGAAACGTTTCAACCGAACAAGAAAGAAGTCCCGTTGCCATGACTCAACTTAACTTCCAGATTGCCTGGAGGACGGAGGATCTTCACAGATCAACAACAGCAGAAATGAAACTAGGAATGGCTAGAAGTCCACTTCCTAATTTGATAGACATTTGGGTTTGTCGAAACATGGCTTTGACCTATTCAGTCTCCTCTCCCAGAAACTGATAGGAACAGCAGTTTGCTTTTTGTCCAGAAAACGTCGGGATTTGGGAGTGCTTGAGAGAAACGCCTTGGAGGACACCAGCATCCCGTCTTCTGCATGAAGTCCGAAAGGGAGCATTAGTCTTATGGGGACCTTGCTCATGGAGGACAGCTCTGCTGTATTTCCTGCTTAATAACATCACTGCAGGTAGTATATTCTGGATAACATGCACACATGACCCTCTCTCCTGCTTTATTTCTAATTTCACAACCTTATACACCCCACCACAAATTGCTTGTCTTTCCATCAGAGTTTCCTATGGGCTAGGTTCTGACTTTTGAGTCTTCCCAGGCAGCTTCTTGAGGAGTCAAAGATGGTGGCCTAGCTCAGGAGAGTCCAGAAAAGAGGTTCTGTGCAAGGTTACCAAAGACATGGGAACACACCCATGAATTGTTGCTTGGTTATCTATGAAACATCTTTGTTCCAGTATTATATCTGCTTTCTTTCTGCTTTCTTTCATTCTGTACACCTGCCCACACATTGTGTTTTTCCTTTCCTTTCGATCTATCCACTTCTGGACTATCAAGAATAAGCATTGTTAACTTGCCATGGCGTATACCTTAAAACTGAATTGATGTTTTTGAATTGTGGTGCTGGAGGAGACTCTTGAGAGTCCCCTGGACTGCAAGGAAAACAAACCTATCCATTCTGAAGGAAATCAACCCTGAGTGCTCACTGGAAGGACAGATCCTGAAGCTGAAGCTCCAATCCTTTGGCCATCTCATGAGAAGAGAAGGCTCTCTGGAAAAGACGCTGATGTTGGGAAAGTGTGAAGGCAAAAGGCAAAGGGGACGACAGAGGATGAGATGGTTGGATGGTGTCATCAAAGCGACCAACATGACTTTGACCAAACTCCAGGAGGCAGTGGAAGACCAGAGGGCCTGGTGTGCTCTGGTCCATGGGATCACAAAGAGTTGGACACAACTTAACAACTAAGCAACAAAATACCTTAAAATCCTTAAGATGCATATGTACAGAAGCTGTGTGCAGCACTGATTTTCTGCAACTAGCCTGTAGTCAAGGCCTTCTTGGGGTGAACCACTTCAGGTGAAAGGTGGAAGGAGAGGCCCATAAGTCAAGCTATTTAAATTCTCCTGTTCATGAAAGAAAATCTTCTATTTGCATGTTTCCCATGGGGAAACGTCCAGACTGGCGTTTCTTCTCTCACCTGCAGCTCGAAAGAGCTACAGACATTGTGCTCCTTCTGCTGATAGGAATCAGTTCTATGCAGATCTCGGAAATATTACTCTCTCTCTTTTCTGGGTTTCAGCTTCCAGAATTTCTCTGGACACCCTAGATAATGGCCACATTGGTAATTGGTTTTTTGGGAGCGATCACCCCAAAAATAACATCAACCAACTCTGCTTTTTAAGGATCAACTATGGGTAGCCAAAGAAAAGAAAGTGGTCTCTTGTTCTCCCTATGTGGAATGGCCAAATCACCTTTTTTTTTAAAAAAAATGCAGATGTTGAGCAAAACCCAGTCCCTTTAGCCTGCCCCGTGCTGTATCTACACTTACTGCCTGTGCGTAGGCGCCGTATGCTCCAAACTGGATCGCCATGGGGTTGAACATGCCCATCTGCCCGGCCATTTGCTGCATGCGCCGCATTGTACGCTCCTTATCTGTGTCGGCGAACTTGACCACCAGGCTTGACGAGGCCCCCTGTAGGAAAAGAAAGGGAACATGGAGAAGAACAGGAGCATCACCCATTAGTGCATCTATGAGAAGGATAAAGGAATGGTGCTCTCTTTCCTCCTACCTGCAGAAGACAGAGAGCTTGGAAAAATGACTCTGCTCTTCCGTTCCAGGAATCCTCCAGCCAGCATGACAGATGGAGGATTCTGGGAATTACTCTCTAAAATGGACTGCAATGGGCTCAAGTTACCGGAAGCCAGATTTCGGTGGAATATCAGGAAAAACTTCCTAACTGTTAGAGCAGTACGACAACGGAACCCATGACCTCTGGAGGTGGCGAGTGTTCCAATGCTGGAGGCATTGAAGAGAAAGTTTGATAACCACTTGGCAGATATTCTGTGATTTGGATTTCTGCATCGAGCAAGGAGTTGGAATTGATGGACTTATAGGCCCCTTCCAACTTCACCATTCTGTGATCTTATGATTCTATGAGAATAGCAACTTCTCCAAGATCTACAAAGGTAGATTTCTATTATTATTTTTTTAAAGGTCCTCTAGTGTTCTAAAACAACATAAGAAAATGTGGGTCGAGAAATAAGGAAAAGAGAAAAATTCAGACTTTTGCCCAGAAAGATCCTCTCCATTAACGAATTCATGGGTACAACTTGTTGAGACAAGATGGCACGATGAGAATAGCTCAGGGATTTACGTCTCTGGCTGTGGGGCCACAGGTTGGGAGTTTGATTCCTGGCTGTGCCTCCTTGACAGGGACTTGATGATCTAGAGGGTCCCTTCCAGCTCTGAAGTTGCAAGATTATAAGGAAGGGAGAGGGATTTGTTCTCTGACAGCTCTAACAAAGCAAGAACTTCCGCTCTCAAATCACAGTGCTGGCAGGCAGGGATTGTGTGAGAAGGAGAATAATCTAGGCAAACTTGTGTTCAAATCACAAATGCGTGCCTCAGACCTAGAGTTCACCATACCCAAGACCAGCAAAACCCAAGACCAACCCTGATGTTGGGAAAGCGTGAGGGCAAGAGGAGAAGGGGACGACAGAGGAGGAGATGGATGGACAGGGTCATCAAAGCAACCAACATGAATTTGACACAACTCTGGGAGGTAGTGGAAGACAAGAGGGCCTGGCGTGCTCTCTGGTCCATGGGGTCACAAAGAGTTGGACATGACTAAACGACTAAACAACAACAAGAAGACCAACAATATGCATATGCACAATTGCATTTTTGTACTGTTAATGAAACAAGCTGCCAAGGTTCCCTTCTGCTGCCTAGTCGAAGGACGTAATCATTTCTTTTTTCAGTTTTTCTCTTTCTCAACAGCAAAGGGACGGCTGGACAAATCAAGAGCCCCGATCCCCCAAAATGGGCAACAACTCTGAGTTTGTTTGTTTTTTTGCTCATGTGCAAGAGCGAAAAGACTAACCCCTGCGGGTTTCATGCTAAAACCTTGGATTTAGAAATTTAAATCTTGATATTTTTGTTTGTTTGTGTATGTATGTTCAAAGGAACAGCCTTCTTTGGGCAGAACAAAAGATTTCCTATCCAAAATACGGCATTTGATGCACAAAATACAGGTCTGATTTTGCGCAGAAGCATGTCTGCAAATGACGTGCAGAAACATTGGAAAACAGGATGAACACACTTAACTTCTGGTCATATCACCCAGTTGGGAGAAAACCTTTGCAATGTTGCGCTCCTGCCTGGCAGAACAAAGTAAGCAAAGAGTTGTCCCCAGCTTTGCAGGGTGCTGCTTCAACAGCTTTGAGACACCCCTTCTCTATGTAAACAACAGCCTTGCCAGATCCACTGTAATCAAGTAAAAAGAGGTGAGGGATTCATGTGCAAGGGAAGCCCATCTCTCATCGCATCGGGCTCTCACAACAAGAGCTCTGCATCCTGGATTAACAATCATCTTCTGGGAAAAAGTGGCTTTTATTGGTGACAAGTCTCTCTCTCTCTCTCTCTCTCTCCCTCTTCTCTTTCTCCCCTCTCTTTTTTCACCTGTCATTCTTTCCTCCTCTAACAAATCTATAATCTATTTGACCAACGCAACAAGGAACAAACTGTTGTGCAAGACAAAGGAGGGGCAAAAAGAGAAAGAAAGCAGGGAGAAACTCTTGATGCAGAACACTTGGTATTAGGAAAGGAAAGCGAGGGGAGAATCATCTCCAGCCTCTCAATCAAGGTTTTTGATTCATGTAAGGATGCAAGAATTTCCCTTAATTTCTTTCTCTCTCTCACCCCTTCTCGAAAACATGGGTATCGATCCTTTCCCAAACAGTACTCTTAATTACACTTCATTGACAAATGAATATTTTTAATGCATACATTTCCTGGTAATTATCACCAGACCGGTCCTTAATTAGATCTCACGATTCGCTTAATTAATCCTGGACAGAGACACTCTTTGTTCGCCAGGCTCCGACCAGGCCATCTCGACCTACTGCAGAGATGGTGGAAGCTGGGAGTCTCTCGCACGAGCCAGGGAGCGGATGGGGGGGCAAAGGTGACAGTGGCCACAGTGGGTAGCCGGCTGTAGTCACCCACACATCCCTCCCACTTTGGACGTTGGCCCAGAATGACAAAGCCCAGTTCAGCACAAGTTGGCATGGAAGAATTAAAAAGAATGGCCATCGAGAAATCTGAAATGCTGGGCTTAAATTCGTCCCCCCACCAAGAATCACATTTCTGTCATTCCTTCTCTGTGCTTCCAATGGAAAGGCACGATGCAAATAAAGGGTACCAAAAGAAACGGGGAAGTTGTGTTTTTGGTCTTAGACCACAAATCAAAGTCCCTCTTCTACAACAAAGCCACTGGAAGGGACAGGATACAGAACGTAAAGATAAAGGTTCCCCTTGACATTTAGTCCACTCATGTCCGACTCTAGGGCACGGTCCTCCTCCCCATTTCCAAGCCGTAGAGCCAGCGTTTGTCAGTAGACAGCTTCCATGGTCACGTGGCCAGCGCGACTAGACACAGAATGCTGTGACCTTCCCACTGTGGTGGTACCTATTTACCTACTTGCATTTTTACATGCTTTTGAACGGCTAGGTTGGCAGGAGCTGAGACAAGCAATGGGAGCTCACTCTGTCACTTATGGATACAGAAAGCCATAACCAAATCTGGTGCTGGAAGAAGCTGAATGAACTGTTCTTGGGAGAACATGGGGGCTACCACAGAAAAGTCCCTGAAACTTTTGGAGGCAAGTCCAACAGAGGTTAGATGCTGGAGAAGCACCTCTCCAAAAGAGCCCTAGCACTTGGGGGTATTCTCCACAGGGTGTTTTTCCTGATGTATTTTGTGCCCCACAAAGAAACAAAAGGGACGTTTTTAGACTTGTGGGATAAGATATGCTCTCACCGATTGGCACCTTGCTGCTTTAGCATGTCTACCCTCATCCAGTTCATTGTGGCCACCAGGCATTGGTTTGGAAGAGAAACGGCTTCCTTGGAATTAAATGGAAAAGAGAAGTAGAATTGGGAGAGTCATCAGCCTACCGAGGGTGCCAAAACGGAGAGCTCTGGGCAATCTCTCCCAATAGTTTGCACCCTTATAAGAGGCAAGTGTTTCACTTTCTAGATTATGGCACCTTCAGTCCGAAGCCCTGGTCGCCCTCCTCTCGTTACAGCGATGCTATTAATTCACACAACCAAAGATGATCCTCACTGCATAATCTATTCCCTCCCTTCGCTCCCTGTAGCTAATGGGGTGAAACTCCTTTGCTTTGCCTCCTGTTCTGATCAGCCCAAACTCACACTTCCTGAACCCATGCATGCATGCGTAACAAAATACACAATGCCCCCCTGGTTTTCTACAAATTTTACAGTACACTCCTGTGATCAAACAAAGCCCAGAAATGTGTAGATCAGGGAGAACCTCATGTCTCGAGGAAATGGAATAGATAAAAACACGTGGATCTTCACATGCATGTAAAAAAAATGCTTCTATATTCGTGGCAGCATTAATTTTGGCATAATTCATACTGGTAAAGCAATGCAGAACCAACTTGTACTGGGAGGGGGGAGAATATGAACCTTATAAAAAGTGAAACAGGAAGATCTTTCTGTGCCTGACACATATCCACAGACGGATGCATACAGATCGGTATGGAGCTACCGAGACAATATGATCTTCAGTATTGAGTGCAAGTGATCAAGTTTCTTGAATAAGGATACAGTCTGTTTCTCGGTACATGTTTTGTCACAGGGCAGTTGAATGGAGACCTTATGAAACCCCGATCGCTCTCAGCCTGGTAGGGCTGCTTGAGGTAACTCCCTCACCTTCCTTCCTTCCTGCCGCCGACAATCGATTGCTCCCCTTAGTCAGACAGGGTCGGCACGCTCAAGTCCACAGTCATGAGGGGAGAATAAAAATGGTGCCACAATTGCGCCGCACCGTGCTCACTTTGTAATCCCTAACGAGAGATCTTAGTGGGGGAAAAAAAACCCTAATTTCCCGGCCTGTCTGGAGGTGTGAAATAAAGTTCTTGTTGAAAATGAGAGCTTGACAGGTCAGCGGCGGAATTTCATATTCACAGCAAAATAAAATATCCATCCATTGATATTTCATTAAAAGCCATGAAAACAAATCTGGCCACTCTTGCTGGCGCTTTTCCCCACTTCCCCCTTCTCCCGTCAACCGGTCTCGCCCGAGCGGCAGCAAAGCCCTCCGGATGCAGACCGTCCATAAACTTTGAGAAAGATGGCCGGAAGGCGGTGGGTAAATCTTATTCTCCTTAGGAGACAATCGTGGTCAGAAGGGACATCCACAAACACAGGCACCATTGTATGAAAATGACACTGTCGCAACACCAAAGAACGGTCTGTTGTAAAATCAAGAGCCTCTCCCTGATCTGGCGAACTTATGGTCTCAAGTCCCTGTAAAGGTGGCCATACAGAGGAGGGGCAGGATCTGTTCCTAATCATCCCAGAGATCCAGGGCACATCATCATGGGCTCAAGATGTAGGGAGCCAGATTTAGGTTGAATATCAGGAAAAACTTCCTAACTGTT